CCTTTTTCAAAGCAAATTGCGGGAAATATAGCAACTCGTGCTACCAATATAGGCAGTATTCTTTAAGTTTTTACCCCTAATATTTACCTGTAATAACAACATATTCACACATCTTTAACAATATGTAACTTGAAACTTGTAAAAGTACTTTATATTTTACCCATAACATGATAGCAACATAACCCGAGACCCGTGAACAATTTACAACTTTAAAATTGCATATTGCTATTATTGGTTAAGAAAACACTCATATACAGCAATGTACTTATATATCTTTACCCATAATAGCAATGTACTTTCAATCTATCTATCGTGTTTTCTTAGTCATTTTCTCATGGGATTAGTTTACATTGGAAAATCAAGTATGATGATTGAAAGATTCAATTACTCAATCATTGGATAAGTCTTTTGTTTGATGATCAAAAAATAGTTAAAAGAATACGACAACACACCAAAATAATGAAATGAAATGAAAAAACATAAATGATGGGCATTAAGTACATAATAGAAAGAGCACTCATATTAGATGTATATATAGCTTACCCGATTAGGTTATGTCTCCATTAAGTACATAAGAAAGAGCACCTTAATGTGTATTCAGTAAGCATTATTGCAGAGTAAATTGTGATGCAGATGGGTGGTAGAAACACGGTTCTTTTGGATGCTATTAGTTGCAGAATACCATTAGTGAGTGACATACCAACAATTATATTTGGAGCAGATGTCACTCACCCAGAAAATGGAGAAGACTCTAGCCCCTCAATAGCTGCTGTGAGTCCTTACCACCACAAATTTATTAGGCTCTTTTTTTTTTTTTACCCCTGTGTCTAGAAGTGATGCTGAATAGAAAAAGAGTGTAAACTGTAGGTAGTAGCTTCCCAGGATTGGCCTGAAGTGACAAAATATGCAGGATTGGTTTGTGCTCAAGCTCATAGACAGGAACTTATTCAAGACTTGTACAAAACATGGCAAGATCCTGTTCGTGGAACTGTCTGTGGTGGCATGATCAGGTAAATCTCACTATTAAATTAATATAATATAATATAATATATTGTTATGTTTATATATTGATTGTTCATGCAGGGATCTTCTAGTTTCTTTCCGCAAGGCAACCGGACAGAAACCCCTACGGATCATATTTTACAGGTAACCAAAACTTTCATCCAATCACAAAAAAATTTCTTTGCAATGCTGTTTGGATAAGTCATTGATAATTTAGACAAAACAATAAATGAAGGAAAATTTGTATGATATAATGGGTAAAGCCTCCTTTTCCATTAAGCCATTTTTTTTATCAAGTCATACTTGACTTCAAGCAGAAAGAACGAGAGAAGAGACTTTCCCCATTAAGACTAAATTTTTTTTTACCCTCATTAAGTGTGTTAGTCATTTTCTCAAGTAATTTTCAAACATTGTTTATGAAAAAATTTAAACAGCAATCACATTCTTTTTGATGTTTTGAAATTTGAACAGGGACGGAGTGAGCGAAGGGCAATTTTATCAAGTGTTACTGTATGAATTGGATGCTATTCGTAAGGTGGGTGTATACATATTTTTCTGTTTTAACCAGCACACATAATATCAATATGCTAACTAACTTAGGGTTAATTTATGACTACAGGCTTGTGCATCTTTAGAACCAAATTACCAACCACCAGTGACTTTTATTGTTGTGCAAAAACGTCACCATACACGATTATTTGCAAACAATCATAGGGACCGTAGCACCACAGACAAGAGTGGAAATATTTTGCCCGGTAAATTGCCTGTTTAAGTAAAAAAAAATTTTTTTTAGAATATTTGAATATACTTTATTATTTACTCCTTTTCATTCTACTTATTCTTCAGGTACTGTTGTTGATACCAAAATTTGTCATCCAACAGAGTTCGATTTTTATCTCTGCAGCCATGCCGGTATTCAGGTCTACTACTTTCTTCTGTTTCGAGTAATTAACATTTGGACACATTCCTACTTTTTTCCTCATTATGAAAAGGGCGAGATATGTAATTTTACCAACTTATCCTCAATTTTTTTTTCTCTGGTGATTCAAACACTATGCTTATTCTAACCATGAAACAAAGCATTTCCCTCGGTCATCCGATTTTGTTATCTGGGTAAAATACAGAATTTTTTTTATGTATTCTCATCATTTTATCAATTTAACCACGGAACTATTATTATTATTAAATCTATAAAATGCTGACAGTAGCAGTTTTTTCTTGTAAGATGCCAAGCGATGATTAAAGTCGATAACTGTTTTTTTTCTCTTCAATAATGTGTCAGGGGACAAGTCGACCTGCACATTACCATGTTCTGTGGGATGAGAACAATTTTACTGCAGACGGGATTCAGTCATTGACAAACAATCTTTGTTATACGTATGCAAGATGCACACGTTCCGTATCTATAGGTATGTGTTTTAGAGTAATGGTTTGCAAATTTCGTCCCATTCACATTAATTACCCTTGTTTCAGTTCCAATTCAATCACTATAATAAAGCCCCGTGTTAGAAACAGAAACAAAAACAGAGACACAACCTTTATATTGAGAGGGCTAATAACAATATACTTCACTCTCACTAGTCACTACCAGTATATTATCAGCAGTGGACCATAATAGCAATGTACCTAGATATAAAATGATTACAGGTTTCATGTTTACATATTGCTATCATAAGTAAAGAAATGTAAGTATGTTGCTGTAACAAAATGCTAGTAGGTTTCTATTATTGGGAAAAAAAACAACTAAGTTACTAATATGGAGAAAGAGATACAAGTACATTGCTATTATGGGTAAAAAAGAAAAGAAATTATATGGCCAAGATTTGGGAAAAAGAGTAAAGTGTGTTTGGTTTGGTCATTGGTGATGCAGTTCCGCCAGCATACTATGCACATTTAGCTGCTTTTCGGGCAAGGTTCTATGTTGAACCAGAAATGCAGGAAAATGGGACAAAGGGAACTGGTGTCAGACCCTTGCCTGCCCTCAAGGACAATGTGAAAAGAGTAATGTTTTATTGTTAGCAAGGATTCTTCATATAGGCCTCTGCTGTGCTGTTTTCTTTGTATGTATCCATGTATGTAGGATAGATAGCTTGGTCTAAGAAAAAAGGCATCATCGCTTGCTTGCTTGTATTATATTTCTTATATGGATGGTTGATGCAATTTGAACATGTTTAGTCTACTAAGACTCTGGTTAACTTCTTATTTCATGTCACGAGTCTGAGTGTTAACTATGTGTATGTCGGAGTGTTAACTATGTGTATGTCGGTGATCCTTCTCCTAAAAATTGTAGGAATTGCCAAGGGTTTGAATCTCTAGATCCAATGTGGTTTGAGCCTCTTGTGGCATTCATTTTTATGCCAACCATCTATATGATGTTTTAGAAGTGTGTAAAAAAAATTCTGAAGCCGATCCAAAAGCCAAAAGACCAAACCATTAACCATATGGCCCCTTGGATGTTCTTGGGGGTGAGCCGGTGAGGTGGATGCTGGAAGATTCTAATTTGAGAATGTCATGATCATAAGAAAGATTAAGAACACAAAAATTTAAATAAGATCACGATTTTATTACAGAGTAAAAGAACAACTCGGTACAAGGAGTAGGGAGCTATTCATGCAAAAGATACTCTCTGCTAACTAACTCTTGTATATATAGGCTTGAGGGGAGAGTCAGATTGAAATACGTTTAAATCAATAGCTAAGCTGTGAACCTAGACATAAACAAATATGCGAAATACAAAATGTCTCATCTCATATATGAAAGTGAAGACTATGACAATACAAAGTAAAGTGAGAACATAGTCGCATACAAAACTTGACACAACATAAAATCTGAAACGTAACAATCTCCCATTTTGTCTCAAGTTGGGAATGTTGTCTTCATTTCTTTTTATCAAACACCTTGGGAATCGTCTTTAGTAAAACCATACGAACCATCACCAACCATCTTATCATATCCGATACACATTTCACATCACTTGAAGCATTTGACTTGCAAACTTCAGCTCATGACAAAGCATTGTGAAAGATGTTGGATACAAGTATTTGTCTCGCAAAAACATCATGCAGTTTCATATCACCCCCATTCTATGATGTTTTGTAAAACATTTCCCATGGCTCTTTATGAATAAATCTAACATTAAGACTTCCTAGTCCTTTAGGTGGTAGGAATGGTTTCAAAATTGGTTTCTGGTTCAATACATTTGAGATCTCTATATCTATCTTTGAAATTTCTTGAATGTAGTCTCTTATCATTCTTTGCAAAATCTGAAAGATAGGCTCATAATTCATAGGATCTTTGCCAACAATGTTGAGAAGTACTATCCAATCATATGGATTCATCATCGGAAGATCAACGATACTAAAATCAAAAGCTTCACGATTCACGCCTCTGCACCCTTTAAAAGTGATGTTCGCAAAATCTTCTGCTTCAAAAGGTTTTCCAAAATTTAGACCTGAAATTCTTTGTAGGCTTCAAATCTTAAATTGTGTTCTTGACCGCTTGACATAAAATTGAATAATTTTTTATTCAGTGTTGCGTTTCCCAAAGGAACATCCACAACTTTATCTAAGCTCTGAAACACAAAAGACTTTTGCAATCATTGGGAAATCCAATCGACAGTCATGATCATTCTTTACCAAGAAAGAAGTGATTAGTTCCAACAAAAAAGGTCCACTTTCTTAATAGCTTCTTTCTCCATGCGCTCAACAGTCCATCCGGGAAATAAAACTCTTTTTGATGCTTCAATCTCTACATCATTTTGCTTTTCAACGTCTTGTTGATCAAGAGTTTCCTTGAGAGCTTTTAATTTATCAAGCTCTTTGTCTCTTACAATTTAATCTTTTCTTTCTTCCTCTGTGAGAGCAGGATTATCATCTTCTTCCAAAATCACATTTACTTTTCCTTTTCCTGAACTAGAAGCTACATTAACCTTTTGTCATGTACTCACTTTTTCTCTGAAATACTTCATTTCCTGAACTAGAAGCTACATTAACCTTTTGTCATGTACTCGCTTTTTCTCTGAAATACTTCATTTTATCTTCCATTGTTCGCTTTTCAAGAACAACCATTGGAGCATCAGACTTCTCCATATTCCTAGTCTGATGAGGATCTTTGATGTTGACATTATGAATTGGAATTTCAGTGTTGACAGGCTCAACTCCTTCTCCCCCTTGTTGTGAAGTAGCACCGTTACTCGTAACATTAGAGAGCCGATCGAGCTTGGTAAGAATGGGATTGAGTTTCACACCCATAAACTGATCAACCTTAGGAAGAATAGGACTAAGTTTTGCATCCAAGCGCTGTGAAATATAATCAACATACAGAGCATCCTTTTCTTCTACAATCTTCACCAAACGCTGATTAATCTCAAAATTTCTGCTTTTCACCATGAGAAGCACTTCATTCATTTTCGCATTCATACTCATAGCAACATCTGACTTTTCTTTTTGAACTTTCAACTTCTGTGTCTTTTCAACAATGGTACCTATAAGCTTCTTTTAACCTTCCAAATTCATTTGGAACGAGAGAATCGAATTTGAAACAGAATTATGATGATCATCGTTGTCTTTCTGAACCCTAAAGTGAAGTGCAGAAAGAGATTCCTTTTCAATATTGAGCAATT